ATATATATATATATATATATATACATACACATATATATAGACACACATATATATATACATAGACATATATATAAATATATATATATGATATGATTATAAACTGATCAGAAAAAAGTTGAAAACACAGCTAACAAGATGGTATTTTTTCCCCTGGGAGTCTGAGCTTCCACACACACCCTCATGACTCACTGTTTACAGCAATGAGCTTCAACCATTTCATCCTCACAAACAGCAATTTAGTGGAAATAAACTGAAACAAACCCGACTTCTTTATTCATCTGTGAGGCATAAAAATAATAAACTTTTATTCCTCACAGTTAGATCTTTAACCTTAACTGTATACATAGAAAAAACAAAAAAGGAGCGCTATTTAAATCCTCCTGTTGCCGCTTCATCAAAACCGACACTCCAAATTGAAGCAGCAAACAAACAAAGTGTGTCGCAGGTATTTATGAAAGCATGCAAATGTCAGACATGATGAGGAGAGGCAGGAAAGCAGCTAAAACTAGTCCATCAAATGTTTACACGGTGAAACAGCCCCCCTGGGCGTAACACTGCTGTAAGGAAGATGTGGAGTATTTTTTTTTTCTCCTCTATCTTAGGAGGCTTGCCAATGAGCCCAGTCACTAAGCTTGATACAAAGAGCTGAAAATATTCAAATCCTCCCCATCCTCTGGCCTGATGTGCATCATGTTTTTATCAGTGTTTTTCAAAGGAGCCATCATCATGGCTTTTTCACTTTGCACAATAAACTGGTCTGATGCTGAACGGTGAAGATCTGGATGCTTTGTCTTAACTATCACTGTTCACCTGCTGCATCATGCATCTGATTGCATTTACCTCAGCTGGAAACAGAAAGCTTCAGAGAACCCTCAGAAATAATTTCTCTCTCAGGGACAGAAAGGGAAAGAAGAAAAAAGCTGTCTCTCAGGGTTGTGCTGCACATACAGACACAGCTCTGATCCTTAGCAACAGGGGAGGAAGAAAAAGGATGAATGTTACTCAAGGTGCTCATCAGACACCTGCATTTTTTACATTTGGTTTCCTGAGCGCCCCGAAAGGAATCCGCCAATCAGTTCGAGGCTGAGGCATGGAAGTGTGATCAACAGGACCCATCTGAACACCTAGAGCACTTTGTGTAGATCTGAAAGCAAGCCTCACCTGTCCTCGGGTGAACGGCTATTAGAAACAGCACAGCCAGCTCCAGCCACGCTCTCCAGCCTGTAGGATCCATTCCCTGAGAGCAAACAGGACGTTAAGCAGAGAAAATATCCTGAAAGTCACTTCAATCACAGCCTGTTATCTCTGAACGCTTCGTCCTTCAACGGGAGTCTCAAAAGAGAACATTAAATGCTGTATTTTTTAGCTTTTCAATGCATGAGTGAGGTCTGGAATACATCATGATCTAGCAGAAGCCTGACAAACAGGGTCTGTCAGTACACAGCAGGAATATCAAGATCTATTCATCAATAAAGAAAGAGAAATAAAAACCGAGGAGCTCTGATGTACCTTAAAGAGATCAGGTCCAATTTAAATGTGATTCCTTTGAGGCCTGTCACTGTTTCACTGTTTCACTGCTGCTTGCCTGTTTTGCTCTCAGGTGAAACTCAGCAGAGGTAAGCAGGCCACACCCTCTCTGATCATAGTGCATGTTCTGGCCCCTCCCAGAGATACAAAACCAGATGAACTTCCTTCATACTGGTTTTATGGGTTTAAAGTCCCCCTGCTAGAGCTCTTTGCTTTGATATCACGGCACAAAATGAGAAATATATATCAACTGATAGAGCTGCTTTTATTCAGGACGAAACAGCAGTGGATATTGGTTTTTACAGTTGTTTTTAGCACTGTATAAAGATGTCTTAGATTTATTAACTATGATATACATTTTCATTCGTTTACTCAGACATTAATCTACAATAATAGCAAAGTTTGTGGGATTTTTAATCTTCCTGTTGAGTATCTCAGTGGTTTGTTGGTCTCTTCTATACATAGGCAAAAAATATAGACCATCTGCTCCGGTAAATTCAGCTTCCTAAAGAGTCATTCACTATTTCCAACATTTCAACAAATATACAAAACAGCTCTTTTTGGACATCGCCTCTAAAATAGTAAAAAAAAAAAATCTAATTTTTTTCCCCATCCCTATTTTATTGTAGACCAGAGGTGACCATGTCTGTTCTTTAATTTCTGATTACTTTATCTCAGTTTATTTCTTACTTTATTTCTTTATCTCATTACAAACATCTGTACTTTCTACTCCTTACTTTCTACAGAGCGTCTCGTTACGTCTATGTTGATATCAACAAGATTTAACAGCTGCGATAAAACAGGGAGAATCAAAAGCGCAAAGAGAATCGGTTCAGTTGAAGACCAGTTAGTTTATACGAGCTGTGCTGCTGCCATCAACACCTTTGTTTATAGATGTTCCAGATTTTTCAGTGTAGTCCTGTTTCTCTGACTGTGACTGGCTGGATCTGATTCTGTCTTCAATGTTTACACTGTCATTGTAACCAAAGTAAATATCTATTTATTCTGGACCCTTAAAATTTTTTACTGATTTTTCTTTTTAGTAGAATTAATTTCTTTATTCTCCACCACGCTTAATTTTCTGTGGATTTATTAAATTTTGATTGAAAAAAAAAAGGTTGGTAAGAAAGTTGTTATTTTGACCTTTAAATTTACATGTTATCCAATCCAATCCACTTTATTTATATAGCACAATTTCAATAAAGACAAGGTTTCCAAAGTGCTGCACAAAAAAGATAAAATAACTAAAATAAATAAAAGTTAATAAAATAAAATGAAATAAAAGCACTGCCCGCACAGGATAAAAATATGCATGTGTAAACAAACATGTTATGCAAATTTTAATGCTATTTGCAACTTTAATCGTCTGAACATCGAAGCTCTAAAAGTATTCGACTCCCTATTGAGAACTGTCTGCTTTAATCTGTATCATTCTGTCTGAAATATGGATCTAGAAGAAAACTAGACCAAGTCAGTTTTGTTCTGTTCTCCCAACCAGCACTCTGAGCAAAGGAGGAAAATTAACCCAGTTTCTATTTATGGAGTTTCTTCTTTTAAGAAAAGAGCTTTTAAATGATCTTGTATCGTTAAGTGCTAAAGCTTAAATTTACTTAAATATATCGTAAAATCTTTAGTGTTTTACTTTCAATTATGGAGCCTAATCTGTACTTTTATCTTTATTGGATTCTTTTTAACCCTTTAAAGCCCGATCCAAGAATAAAACAAAACAGAAAATTACTTTTTTTTGGTTTGAAGTCCTTATTTGGCCTTTTAACAAAATATGTAAAAAGAAAAAACAGAAATACATTTTTGATATTAATAATTTATTACTATGCGATAAGTCAAGATTATTTTTGTGTCGTCTTCTGCCCTCTGTTATCAGGTATATCTGATTGTGTACAATAGGATTTGGAGCAAAGTTTTTACCATTAAATTATGCAAAAGGTGTCAGATGCAAAACATTTCAGAAACCGTATGTATCAAATATGATACATTTGGCATTATAGGGTTAAATGATCTTGTATCGTTTAGTGCTAAAGCTTAAATTTAATTAAATATATGGTAAAATCTTTAGTGTTTTACTTTCAATTATGGAGCCTAATCTGTACATTTAATTTTATTAGATTCTTTTTAAAGCAGGAATCTTTAGCTTTACGTACTTTCGACACCTCTGGCACAAAGAACTTATGATTATAGGTGACTATTGAAAATGAATTACGGAAAAATTTATATTGCTGATTACTTACAAGCTTGCTATTAAAAAAACTACATATGGATATACAATACCTAAATGAACATCAATTTAAATTCACTAAATCAGTAAAATGTGTTCAACCGCTTAATAAAAATGAGTAAATAACCCCTAATAGATGCACGGCATCCACTTTAATGGGGCTTTATGACTCTCCACCCAGGACGCTTCAGCCTAGGGGGTGGCATGAGAGAAAGTCAGATAAATCAATGAATGAATACATGATTTACGAACAAGGCAAGTCTTTTCCAAAATCATTTTTATTTATAATAAAGAGCCTATCAGGTTGTAAAAAAGTAAAGCACAAGAAAATGGTTGAAAAAAGGAAATGTGCTACTGTCTCTTAAAAAAAATCTTCAGTTTTTAAACAAAAGAATCTGATTACTCTTGTTGAAAATCTATGACTGTGTTTAAACACCACAGGCTTTAAGACCCAGATGTTCATGGATACATAGTTATGCTCAATACTAAGCTGCAGTCTCAACTATATTTAGCTCTGAAGAATGTTGCGTAATCCTCATCGGTTTGACTTCGGATGTTTGTATGCATGTATTTACTGCGTGTCCACGGGATACTCCCTCTGTTGTCTTGGTTGGTGCAAAGACTTAATCAAGCCTGGGCTTGTTATCCATCACCAAGTTGAGAGTTTAGATGGTTATTATTTGTTTTATTTGTAAATAAATAAGTTGCAATATGCAGTGTTTTGATATTTGAACACCTATCCTGGTACACATCTAGGTATAGATCCATTTATCTCTTGATGGCTCGTTTGGAGCATCAAAGGGGTGGGGCATTAGGATTAGACTGTAACAATGGTTGCCATGGTGAAAATATTTGTAAAAAAAACATTTTTTGTAATTGAGGAAAAGGTTTCACCGCCTTCTTTCATACAGCTTAATGGCAGTGCACAGCAATACTAGGTGGGGAGGGGCTAAGGCTGCCACATGTGGAGTTAATTTAGTTCCATGAATTTTGTAAACAAATAACACATTTAGTAAATGGAAATTAAAAAAGTTGAAAATAATTAGTTTCTAAGATTTTTATTTAAGTTTTTTTTTTAATTATTTCCATTATTATTTTTTGATTTTTTTTTTCCTCCAGATTTTATATTTTTTAAATGTTTTTTTTTTTCATTTCTCTTTTTTCACAGAGCCTTAAAAATTGTATTCCTTTCCAATTGCATTTTTTACAGGTCACATTGTCTTTACTTTAATAGAAATAGATTCGCTAACGTCCAGCAGACCCATAGAAAAGCAACTTTGCTCCTCACTCAGGTCAACCTCCAAGACTAAAGAAAATAAGATCTGTGAAACGCAATTGGAGAAAAAATTCAAATATATAAATAAATAAGTAAATGAATAAATAAAACTGAATCTGAAAAAGAGACATTTGAAAAATAACATTTGACATAAAAAAGGAAGAGAATCCGAAAAAAGAAAATTGAAAAATTTAAATGAAAAAAACAAAACAGCAGTTATTCTTTTTTTCTTTATTAAGGAGGTGATCAAGGTTTCGTTTCTGGATTGCATTTTGTTTTATTTTCAATTTATAAAAAGTGTTCTTTGCTTGCAATAATGGAACAAAATCACCTCCATAGGTACGACTGCTTTCTACATTCCATGAATTCAAAAGAAAAAAAAAAAAAAATAGAAAATTCATAAACCGAAACTGTGAAACGGTACAACAGGATATTTCAAATGTTTTAAAACCAAAACATTTCTGCAAACATCAGGGCCTTGATGCTAGTAACCTATATGGGTGGCCTGTTCCTGTCTGAGTGATACCGTTTTTTTTATGTAAGGTTTATGTAAAGCAGCTGATGACAGGAGTTAAAATGCACCCAAGTGTCTCATGAGTAGCTCAACAACTATGTTGCTGATCAACCTTTTGTGTAGATCATCTACTATGATATGTTGCTGGGAAGCAATGCATGTCTGCAGGCACGCCTCTCTGTGAAAGCTGTAAAAGTCTGCAGTGGCAGAAGTGAACAAGTCTCCCTAAAATAATGAATGCATTTTTTATCTTTATGATTTTTTTTTTTAAGAAATAACTAAGTCTGACAAGCCCCACAAGTTGTTTCCCCTCATTCTTTCTTTTTTTGTTTTTTTGACAACACATTCACGGTTGTTATTCCGCACTGACAGACAGCAGACAATAGGAGCTGTGACAATTTGACGGCTGCAAATTTAGACCTGCAAACTGTGTGACAGCTGCTGCTGCTGTTTATGCTCCTTTGCCTTTTTTTTTGTTTTGTTTTTTTAAATTTTGAGTTCATCTAAAGAGTCACAGATGGCTTGAATTTTGTATTAAATATCACAAAATCTCCCTGTGTGTCTCCTCCAATGAACATCAGTGGAATCACTTGGTATCGATTACAGGAGGGCGAACAGGAGCTATATGATGTGAGCACAGAGTGTGACGTTAGCCATTAGGAAACTTAAGTGCTAGTTTAGTGCGGTGCTGCCAATAACGTTCATTATGGAGATCAGTATGAGGCATGATCGGAAAGCAAATTCCAACTCCACCCCTGTCGCCTCCTAGATGTGTATTTTCATGGCGTGAACCTGCTGCTGTATGCAGAGTGGCTGACTAGCACCACGCCCCGACACTTCTGCTATGCAAGGTGCTCCTGATTGAACCTGCAAATGTCAGTGTTTGTGTGAGATTGTGAGGTATTGGCTGCCTTCCTAGCGGATGGTTAATTGCTCCTCTTCCTCCTCCTGGGGAGGAGGTGTTCCTGGCATGGAGCGTGGAGCCAAGCAGTGTGACCAGAATAGAATAGTTGAATAGAAATATCCTTGAATGTCCCACAATGGAGACGTTCTAGTGT